TGAACACAGAGACAAGATTATAAAGTATAGGAGGCCCCAGATTTGCGACATGATTGGTTCTGGAGGAAGCATCGCAAGTCGGGGGCATTGTAACTCGAATCCACCTTTATGGCAGGCGCCGTGCGCTGTTGTAAATACAGGCCGAGGATGTAAGTAAGGGATTTCCAGCCCCTTCTGCACTTACAAAAATGATTGTAAATAAGAACATAAGAACGGCCGTACTGGGTCAGACCAAAGGTCCATCTAGCCCAGTAGCCTGTCTATGACAGTGGCCAGCACCAGGTGCCCCAGAGAGGGTGGACTGAAGACAATGATCAAGCAATTTGTCTCGTGCCATCCATCTCCAGCCTCTGACAAACAGAGGCCAGGGACACCATTTCTATCTCCTGGCTAATAGCCTTTTATGAACCTAATCTCCATGAAATTATCTATCTTCTCTTTAAACTCTGTTATAGTCCTGGCCTTCACAGCCTCCTCTGGCAAGGAATTCCACAGGTTGACTATGTGCTGTGTGAAGAAGAACTTTCTTTTATTAGTTTCTCAGGCAGTCACATCTCGGGGGCCTCCTATATTTGGAAGTCATACTACACCAAAATTTTTTAACAATATTTTAAAATCCTGAAATGTTCATTTGTCAATTAAAGATGGGAGCATAAACCACAGATTGCACAAAGGTGGGAGATCACTCTGTCCCAGGGGGAAGCTGCACAGACACAGCAGTGAGGCTGAACCCACCCCTGCCAGAGGACAAGGGCCAGGCCTTCCCCAGAAACATCCCAGGAACCCTGCCCCTCTGTTCCAGGTGTACTAGGTATGGGCAGACTAGCTCAGCAGAGCAGGATCCAAGTGTGGAGGGATCCAGGTGTGGGTTGAGAATGTTCTGTGTGGGGCAATCTGGGTGCAGGTGCCTCAGTGAAGGATACAGATTTGGCTGGGGGAGGATCTGGATGCACAGAGGCTTGTTGGGGAGGTTGAGTGCAACAGTAATGGAACTCTGTAAGGGCATCTAGGTGAAGGTGACTGGGGCTAGGTCTGGTAAGGATCTGGGTGCAGGTGACTCTTCAGGGTGGTCCAGGTGCAGGGGGCATGGGACTCAGAGGGGTTCTGGGTGCAGGGGAGGGGATTGAGGCTCAGCAGGAGGGTCTGAGTATGAGGAGGTCTGGGTGCATGGGGGGCAACTCCCGATACAGTGATCCTTCCTCTTGCAGCTGAGGAGCAATAACTTGCAGGTAGCACAGGAGTCAGAGCTTCCCATAGCTGGGGAAGAAACCTGAGGGTACATCTGACACAACCTTGGATGCCATGCAGGGGAAAGGAAGTCCTGTCCTCTCCCGAGGAGCCACCAGCTGTGCCTTCCCCAGTCCTGCCCACTGCCCCATAGTGATTTACTTCTCTACCAGCTGCCCTAAACATACCGCTAGAGAGGATCACATAGTTACTCTTGTGGCTTCCCTTCACTTCCCCATCAAAGTGTCATTCTTCTGTGGGGAAGCAAAGAAATCTGTGGGGTACATAAATTCTGCGCATGTGCAGTGGTCCAGAATTCCCTGAGGAGTAATATAGGAAACAGCTTATGCAGTCTTACTAGCAACTCCCTATTAGTTGTCTCAGAGAGGTAGCCGTGTTAGTCTATAGCTTAAAAAGAAAGCTCAAAAAAAAAAAGAGTGATCCTGTAGCACTTTAAAGGCTAACAAAAAAAATATAGATAGTATCATGAGCTTTTTTGGGCACAACCCATTTCTTCTTTAAGTCCACCCCACAATTAGTGGGGCATTGAACACAGGATTCACTTAAATTTAGAGAGGAGAGGGTAAGAAATGTCTAACATTTGGAAATAAAAGGCAATTCATGTTTTGCATCTGTTGTGCAAGTTATGTCTGAATAAACTATGTCGCAAAGTCTGCAGCTACACTTTCCTGCACATATAAAATTAGAAATAAGAAGGGAGAGATGTAGTTCGCCATGTGAAATTATTTCAGATCCCATCCTCAAATCCACAAGCTAGAAAAAGGCAGAGACTTGCTATTCACAGCACCAAGCCGATCAGATCATTTATTTTAAATACCTCTAATTCAATACAATAGTAGAACTCAAAAAAAGTAGCAGATTAACATCACACTGAAAACTGAAGCACTTTTAATCTACAGATGCAGGCTTATCCTGGCAAACTGCATTATCCCACAGGCTGTTTATTGCCTATCCATGACCTAGGGCAGGTGTCTCAAACTCTCAGCCTGAGAGCCATCTGTGGCCTGAGCAGTTCCACAATCCAGCCCACAACGGCTGCAGGCAGGGTGCCCATGGCCCAGGAGGAAGAGAGGTGTCTGTACCCTTCTCCCATGTCCAGCCTCTGCTCTGCCCTCTCCCCCGTCACATGCCTTCCCTCAAGCTCTCCCCCCCCCAGGGATGCAAACTGAGGCATGGCATGGGTTGGGTAGGTCCTCCCACACTCACCAAGGTGGCGGGAGTCACGGGGAAGCGGAGCGGCACAGCAACTTCTGCTCTGCTCCATCACCATCTCTCAGGCCAGCTCAGTCGCTTCACTGCAGCTGTGGGAAGTGGAGCATGCCAGCCCCAGCATGGGCTGGCTTGTGAGATGGTGGCAAAGCAGTGGCTTCTGCCACCATGGTGAGTGCAGGGAACCCCAAACCCTGCAGCCAGCCCCAACCTGTCCAGTGCCCCACAGTCTAACCTGAGTATGGGGGACATCCTATCCAACAGACGGATGGGGTAGCTGCTGCAGAGCCCAGGGCATCTGCAAGGAGCCATCCTATGGATGGGATGTCTGCACACACCTCTCCCAGGCCACAGGGATGTGCTGGCAGTAGCACAGAGCTAGCAGCCGGAAGCTGCTCTAGCCCCACCACGCTACCTGGGAGTCCTTGGAAGAGGGGGGCAGACTGCCCGGGGGGGAGGAGTAGTACGCAGGCCAGCAGGCAACACCAGAAGGAGAAATGTGTGAAAACTCCACCATCCCCTGGAGCCCTGCCAGGCAGAGAGGGGTGTCCACTAGGAGGATTTAAGGACTAGCACTGGCCCTGAGTTTGAGACCCCTGGATGAAAGGACCTGGATCTATTACATACTACTCAAGCCATCTTCCCCAACTCTGATAATCAAATTCTGATAGAGCTGGAGATACGTTTAAAGCAAAGGCCTCTTCAAAGCTCTAAAGGACTTAAGAAATATCTACTACACTGCTGTCACTGAAGAAAATGTTTTTAATCCACCTAGTTCTTTGCACCCCTCACAGTTAAGAAGTCTCTCAGCATTACATTTGCATGTCTAACACTCATATCATTAGAAAAATGCCAGGAAGCACTTTGGAGGCCAACAGTTTGTAATTCAAATACCACCAGCAAAAAAAGGCTCAAAGATAGTTGGAAAGTAATTTTTAAAGAACATAAGAACCGTACTGGGTCAAACCAAAGGTCCATCTAGCCTAAACAGTTTGGTGTTATCCGCAAACTTTTCCACCTCACTGCTTACCCCTTTCTCCAGATCATTTATGAATAAGTTGAAAAGGATTGGTACCAGGACTGACCCTTGGGGGACACCACTAGTTACCCCTCTCCAATCTGAAAATTTACCATTTATTCCTACCCTTTGTTTCCTGTCTTTTAACCAGTTCTCAATCCAAGAAAGGACCTTCCCTCTTATCCCATGGCCATGTAATTTACACAAGAGCCTTTGGTGAGGGACCTTGTCAAAGGCTTCTGAAAATCCAAGTATACTATATCTACTGGATCCCCCTTGTCCGAATGTTTGTTAACCCCTTCAAAGAACTCTAACAGATTAGTAAGACAGGATTTCCCTTTACAGAAACCATGTTGACTTTTATCCAACAAATTATGTTCTTCTACATGCTTAACAATTTTATTCTTTACTATTGTTTCGACTAATTTGCCCGGTACTGAAGTTAGACTTACCGGTCTATAATTGCCAGGATCACCTCTAGAGCCCTTTTTAAATATTGGTGTCACGTTGGCTACCTTCCAGTCATTAGGTACAGAAGCCGATTTAAAGGATAGGTTACAAACTACAGATAACAGTTCAGCAATTTCCCATTTGAGTTCTTTTAGAACCCTTGGATGAATGCATCTGGTCCCGGAGATTTGTTAACATTAAGTTTTTCTATTTGTTCCAAAACCTTCTCTAATGACACTTCAGTCTGGGACAGTTCTTCAGATTCATCACCCACAAAGGACGGTGCAGATTTGGGAATCTTCCTAACGTCCTCAGCCATGAAGACTGAAGCAAAAGAAATCATTTAGTTTATGGCTTTATCATCCTGGATTGCTCCTTTTATATCTCAATCGTCTAGGGGACCCATAGGTTTTTTAGCAGGCTTCCTGCTTCTAATGTACTTAAAAACATTTTGTTATTTCTTTTTGAGTTTTTGGCTAGCTGTTCCTCAAAATATTTTTTTTGCTTTTCTTATTAGATTTTTTACACTTGATTTGACAGTATTTATGTTCTTTTCTATTTATCTCACAAGACATCTTTTTGTCCCTCGCTGCTTCTTTTACAGGGTGGTTAAGCCCCGGTGACTCTTTTTTAGGTCTCTTGCTATGTTTTTTAATTTGGGGTAGGAGACAGAATAGGGTGCCACTCTCATTCACAGATTCTAAGGCTAAAAAGCAGCCTCTGCGATCCTCTAGGTCATGATCTGGAAACAATAAAAGTTGTTTTTGTACAATTCTCACACTACTTTTCTCCAAATACAGCATTCTTTTGGGCTCACTCTACTGAGCTGCTCTGTCCCGCCCTCCATCTGCAGCCACAAAAACCAGAGGGATCTGAAAAGTGGAGCAAATGTTGATTGCTGGGGTCAGATATTAAGTCCATTTGCCCCTAAAGGAGAGGCTCCAAGCAGGAGCATGGTGATGAGCACAGGTAAGGTTGCCAACACTGTATTTCAAAAATAAGGGGACTATTTTCCAGCACCCCTGCCTCTCCTCTCAGTACTGATAGTATTATAATGGTAATAAGCAGTACTCACCCACACTGACCAGGGGGATTTCGTGCTGATTTTTGCTGCACTCAGCAACGCCTGATATTGTTGCACAGAAATGAAGAAATAAGGGACATTCCCTTGTAACAAGGGGCTGTTGCCAACCCTACGACTGCCTGCACCGTCCTAGCACGGCACACCCCAGGCATGCTGATTTCCAAGCCCTGCAGATGGTACGCTGAGCTTCCAGCCTGGACCTGTTGCAGGTCACCTCTCTGCACACACAGCACCTCTCCCGCCGGCAGGCCCTGGCAGCCCGGAACGTGCCGGCTCAGCAGAAGGGAATGTTTGCATTTGCAGCAAAACGCATTTTTAAGCCTCTGTGCGTCATCGGACTTTCCAGCCGCCTTTGGGCTTCGGCTACAGAAACGGGATGGGCCCGGCAGCCCGCGACTGCTTAGTCTGCAACACGCCCGGTGACTACCGCCATACAACCCCCTCCTCCCCCGGGACCAGGAGAGCGGGGCTGCCCCAGGGCGCTCGCTGCACCGCGCTGGCCGGCGGGGACGGAGCAGGGGACAGGCAGAGCAGCAGGCGAAGGGCCGCCCCTCCTACTTGCAGCAGGAGCAGGCAGAGGGGGAG